AAAGTAAGAATACGAACCATTTTTGTTGGCTGAAACTTTTTCAAAAGATTAATTGATGAAAAAAGATTTCAAAAGCAAAGATGTAACAACATAAGAGATATATAGAGAAATTACTCAAATCATACATTAGAGATTAATAGTTTTGAATATATATACATATAATCATACACATATACACTAACTTTAAGTTTGAAAAACTTTTAATGTTGGTTAACGCCATGACGAGCCACGTTTTGTTTGTTTTTGATTATACAAACTCTTATCAAAAAGAACTAGGAAAGTACTTGTTCGTCACTAGCTCCATTATGAGATGTATAATGGAAGAATTTCTCAATTAAAAATCTGAGTCTCGGCTTTTGGGATATGATTAATTTATCATGTTTTCATTCTTGATTTGATGAGTTTATGAGACAACGTCCCAAACTTTCATGGTAATTCTATAAAAAAAATAAACGGTCGTGTATAATTGTAATATTTGAAGGAGTGAGCTTGAAGCACCCAAACTCTTATTAAAAAGAACAAACTTTGTACTCACTACCAAAACTGTGTTTTTGCTACAATGAAAATTTAAGCTGTCAATGATGATTTAAGAGGAGATGTTGGGTATGGGCTTCCCCAATAAAGATTTCGAAGCCCATTTTCGAGCTCGGCCCACCAACTATTTCGGACCTGACTCAACTTTCAAGGGAAACCCTATCATACTCCACTTTCCCCATCTAGTATAAAAATGGGTCCCCCACCTTCTATTACTCATTGGTTATTTTCCATTTTTGGAGAGTACAAAGAACCCAAAAACGTATCGTTTTAGGACTCTAACTAAACGTACCACTTTCATTCAACTTGGAATGTTTATTTTTTTCTTTCTATTTTTCTATTGTATTTCCCATTATATAGTGAAACCAATGTTTTATTTATTTAATTGCAATACAATAGAAAAATAGAAAGAAAAAAAAAACATTCCAAGTTGAATGAAAAAAACTACGAAACAATAAATAAATTAAGGAGGCTTAGGAGGCTTAAAATAAGCATAAGCAGTAAAATAACTCTGAAATAATGTGAGAATTAGCAGAAAAACTGCTGCACAGAAAGAGAAATATGCCCAAGGGTTATTGAAATACTTGTGTTTCAAGACTGCTTTCACAGTATTCCACTTTCGGTTATAATAACGATCAACCTTATGCGACAACTCAGATAAATAACTATCTTTGAGGTCGAAAGCTACTTCCTGACATAGTCTGTTGAACAAATCCGCAACTTCATAATCATTTCCTAACCAGTTCTCGATGATACCACAGTAATGCAAATAGCTTACATCTTCGGCAGAATCTATTAGATTGTCCATGAAGATTATGTAGGATGTTATGTCGTTGTTTGAGTCGATATGGCACTGCTCATAAGCTATAAGATTCGAGAACAAAGACTTGGTACCTGCAACAATCACGAGAAAATCATATGGTGTTTTTGAAAGTTTAAGGAAGTATGGGTATTCTCAAGGAAAAGATAGCATTTCGCTAAAATCATTCTGAATTAGTCAGATTGGGAATAATTGATGAAAAATTATTTCCTTTTAGCAACTTGAGGAGAAAATTAAACATATCTAATATGTGTCTTCACAAAGTCAGCTTCGTATTCACTCTCATTGACTTTTAAAGTATATATTACCACCGTGGCACTATGCAGAATTATTGATCTTCTATAAATTTTATATATATTTCTCAAAAATAAAATAAAATTCTTCTATATATAAACCGTGATAATATCTGTTAAATCCAAGATGTAATATAATTAATGATTTGAATAAAAAAAGAAAATGTAATGAAAGAATAAAAAAATCATTGAAATTTACTTTTCTAAAATAAACCAAAACTAGTTTTTTCTGAAAAGTAAATTTCAAAAACCAAATATGGAACAATTATTTATACCAACTAAAGCACAATATCAAACTTTTTCGATTCATCATCCTCGCGTATAATGCAAGAAAGAAGGAAAAACGTGAACTTACCGTCATGGATAAGTAGTTTAGGTATCTCAAGATAACCGTTTTTGAACCTAATGTCCCAAAACCGGTCAGTTTTTCTTCTCTTGAATTTAATACCGGCCTCTCTTAGTTCCGTCACGCAATGTATCAGTTGTTGTTGGCGCTTGTCCGCCACACGCGTTTTCCTGGACCATCTCTTTCGTGATAACCTCGGCTCAGGTGTCAAACTAGGCTTGAGCAAACTTCGACGGAAAACATCCAGACAGTGCAACTCTTCCTCCTCCTTGTCAGCAATTGGGTTAAAGAACTCATCCTTTTTAAAAGATTTCTTGGTTTTAGCCTGGCCGGTTTTGGTTGATGGTTTATCGGTTGGCATTAGCGGGTTAAAGAACCGAATTGCTAATTGTGCCACTAAACCGGTTTGGTTTTGTGTACCGAGCTGTAACTCTAACAACCGGTTCAGTACGAACAGAGGAAGTTGATTTTCCAGCATTACCATGTCACGTTGAATCGAATGCATCAAACCTCGCGTCGCAAAGACCGGATCATTACGACCATATCTATACAACACCAAAACAAAGCAAAAAAGAATTCAGTAATCAAACCGGTTTAACATGTATATGAGATAACCGAACAAAGACATAACGCTTACCCTAGTACCGAGAATCCTTTATCCAATCCTCTGAAGAGCTCAAGAACAAAAAAACCATCAAGAACCAGCATTTTTGTGAACTCGTAACTGCTCAAACTAATAGTACCTTCGTAACATGCACGAGCCTTCTCCTCGAGCTCTTTCATGGCGTCAATATACGTTTCAATGTTGTGCTTGGTGCGTGCCATGACCATATTGAGCGCACGCCACTTGTGATGGTCCATTGGTAGGAGATGGTCTTTGCCATGGTGGTACGGACCAAGTGAGACGATTTGAGGGAAGTAGGACTTCTTATCGTTTTCTTGAAGATAATGTGGAACTTTGTAGATACAAAGCTTGTCCCAGTTAGCTGTGTCGTCGTCTTTAAGTACTTGGTCCATCTTGTCTTTGATCCAAATCACCCATTCTTCACGTCGTTTCTGGTCTGGTGTTTGGAGTTTTTGGCGCATAATGAGGGTGAGCAAGTACCATTTCAACATTGGTAGTGGTCGATAATTTCTTCGGCTTTTCCTTCTTATGATAATATCTTGTACAGGAAGATTTGGTCCAAATGGTTGCGAC